GCTGCTGTGCGCAGGGTCCTTCGGGCCAACATGGCCTTCTCACGGAGCTCCTCATCGCTTCGCTCTCTTTGCCTGGGAAGCCCCGAATAAGAGTTCAAAAGGGGCCCTTTTCTGGTCACTCCGATATAGAGTGCCGTGCACTGGGGTCACGCGGTCTCTCGCAGTCTCTCGCAGTCTCCGGCATGATTCCTTTTGACCTCCTCTGGCACACGTTAGCACGTAGGCAGTTCTAGGTCCCTTGCGCGGCTCCCGGCTGCAAGACTCGAACCACCGGAGTGGCGTCCTGGTGCTGCAGAGGCCAGCGCCCGAAACCGTGAACAACTCGGTGAACTTACTAGTCAGGAGCCGCATACACCAAAAAGACACGACAAGAAGCGAAAGTTAATTTCAAATTCGCCCGGATAAAGCTTTGCTCTGAAGGCTGTAGTTTCGAGAAGCCGCGCCATCACAGTCGGCTGCATGGGTTGCATGACAGCGGTTTGGGAGCACGCAGCGAAAATGTGTCGGAGGTAATCTGCTCTAACTAGTGGTGCTTCTCCTTCATCCCAGTGTATGGCTTTCTACTCCTCGGCCTAGACTGTTTCCTTTGGCAACCGGCCGCGTTTTCAGCATGTTTGGAAGCTCTCACAGCTGCAGCAACACACCACGCGAACGCCTGCCGCAACTGTACTGTAGCGTTTGACGCTGTACTGTACCTGATCCTGTACTGCCCCTGCACGAAAATCCGGAGCGGGGTCCCAGCAGCGACTGCAGATTTGCACAATTTCATGGACACTGTCAGACCTCAGTGGCCACTCAAGTTAAGAGCAGGTGGAGAAAAAGCTCGGGCCAGGTAATTGAGTGTTGCTTTTGGGGGTCTTTATTTGTTCGGCCAATCAAGCCAAGGGCAGATCAATGACATGTTACAGCCATCTCCCCCGTGGCACACATCAAGAGCAAAGCGAAGCTAGGTCAGCTAGGTCGTCTGCGTCGAAAGACCTCAGGTGACTCTCAGGTGCCAATTGCGGAGGGACTGTATCCCATTATCCCATCAACTGCAAGCGGTTGAGCAAGGCCATGTCGGCCATGCAAGTTTATTGCAGATGGGGGCCGAAGCCTCGGTTGATCTGCACAGCAGCGGCAGAAGGAGGCGGGCCCTCCTCACAAAGTGAAGACCACTTGTTTTCTGGGAAATAACATACACTAATTTCAATTGAACTTCAACTGTCCTTGAACCGGGTGCTTGGCCCCGCTGATGCGGCGCTGCGGCGCAAAGCTGCACGTGACCGTGCAAGCCCGCCTGGCAACATAAAGCAATTCAAGCAACGACGACAAGGCAGCGCCAATTTCTGCGAGCCGCAGATCGATTTCCGGGAGGAGAGCCCTCGCCCCCGCGCCCCCAACCACACCACATAAACCAGACCACACGCCATACCACCGAACCCCCCAGACCACATACCACACCCCGCGACCACCCCCAGACCACGCCCCGCACCAGTCTTGTTAGGGCTTAGGGGGGTGGCAGAGCAAACAGTACAGCGCCCACGCCCCCCTGCCCCGCAAGCATCCCTGCCTTTTGTTGAGAATGTTTGGAAGACACAGACGTCAACGTTTCGGTCAGTTGTTGCTTTGGACGACACGGCCGGATCCAGGGTTCTCAAGTTAGGGACCAAGAGAGTCAAGTTGGGGCGAAGATGGGCCCTCCAAGAGGGGCATTTGAGTTCAAGGCACCTTGGTCAGATCCAGATTCGAGGATGAAAATTTGAAGGTTCCGGTTGGGGTCCAAGAGGGGTGGAGACGGTGGAGACATAAGAGTGGAATGAGTGGATGGTGTGGGCAGAGGTGAGGGTGGGGTGGGGGGGGGGCCCTCTCAGATACGGGGGGGTCGCAGCCGGCGGCAGAAACTGGTACAAGATGACCAAGTCATACTTGGCGCGCACCTGCACCTGCTCTCGGTCCGTACAGCGACTGCAAGACGGGGGTCTGAGAGGTCTCAGCACGTTCCTGCCAGCAAACTGTGGCAGGATGTGGCGGATGCCTTGTTTGGGAGAGGAGCAAGGCGAAGTGCACATTCCGGTGGCCTACTGGAGCTGCGTTGCCTGAACGTGAGCGTCACCTGCGACTGTTGGTTCTGTTGGGATGTGCAAAAGCCACGTGACAACTGCAACAAGCCTTCTTGGCGGGCACGTCGGCTCGGAGGCCCGTAGAAGGTCCTGGGTTTGCAGGCCGAGTTCGTCTGTGCATCACCCTGAACGCACTCACTGAACGCCTGATCTGCGGTTTGTCTGAAGTTAAGTCTGGGGCTGCATGCATCCTACGTGGCTCAAAACTGGCTGCGCCTTCAGCGACTTGCCAGCATGTCAGAATTGTCAGAGTGGTAGATACAAGAAAAGAATGAAACAACTAAACTAGCATACGTCCGTGAACTTTGCTGTTCGGTGGGGCACATGCTCTTCTCAGATCACGAACAAAACAGTGCGGTTACATAATAAACAGTGAGGTTACATGGGGTCGGATACAGTCGGCATGCTGATACAGTCGGCATGCCGATACAGTCGGCATGCTTGTCTGGTCTGGGGGGTTTGTGTGCTGTTTGGCGTGTCGATGGCCCTGCTTCAAGCCAGCAATCAACAGCAGATGACTTCTTCTTACCGAGCTAGCCAACCGTGAAAGACTCAGGCTGCAGATGTTCAAGACGAAGTTCCCCACCGTTGTGTCATGTCATGTGTTCAAAAGCTCCCATGCAAGAAGCCTTCTCCAATTTCCTGCCGCAAGTCAGGTGCAATAGGTTCGCGGGTCAAGATTACCTCCGCTGACCGTGCATTGAGCCCACTTCAGGCTACTGGAGTGGCGAGCCGTGCTTGGCAAGCCGCACGTGAAACGTGGCCGACCCAACGTACTTTTTCTGCTAGATTGCACCACGCCGGCAGTTACTTCATGCAACTTCAGCAACCAAACATCTAAGCCTAGCATCATACGGGTACCTGCAGGGTATTCGAGCATGCGAGGTGCAGGAGCCGTTTGGAAAGTTGTTTTGTTTTCGTTGTTTCTGATCGCCTTGTCACTTACAGCATGTCGAGGTGGAGGCGTGCAACGCCTCCAAATGCTGTGATTGATAGCCTTTCCAAGCAGCCAGTTTCAATTACTGTCACAGCTCCTGTAGGGGCAGTCCGGTTTGTACTCGGAAACGGGGTGGGTGATATCGACAGCCCCATATCACCCCCAAAACCTCCAGTCGCGTCCCGCGCTCCTCAGGCCTGTGCAGTGGCCGGAAAGCGAAACATGGATACTCCGCCTTGTTATTGTTTTTGTTTGCTCTCCTCTCTTTCTTTCTTTCTGTCTTGATTTCTTTGTGTCTTGATTTCTTGATGTCTTTCTTTCTTTCTTTCTTTCTTTCTTTCTTTCTGTCTTTCTTTCTTTCTCTCTTTCTTTCTTTCTTTCTCTCCCTTGGTCTTTCCTTTCTTCCTTCTTTGATTTGTTCTTTCTTCCTTCTTTCACGCTCCTCTCTTCTTCTACCCAGCGAAGAGGCCCCCCGAAGGGAAGCCCCGACCGCGCTGGCCCGCTGCTCTTCTCTCTCCCTCCCTCTCCAGCAAGGAGCAAACGTGCCAGGTAGTTTACCACCTGCCCGGCCTCCCAAGCTCACATGGCGGCACCTTGGCCTTCCCTTTACAACCCACAAGCAACCCAAAAAACAACACAACCCGGCAGGGACGCCTCAGCTTCAGCGCTGGGTCATACGTGACTTTGCACAGAACTAACTAGATGCTCCGATAGCCAGCAATGATGGCAACCTGACAAGGCAGGTGGCGCGTCGAGCCTTTTTGCGATTATATACCTAGTGAGAAACAATATTTCCGCGCGGGATGTCGTGTATCTGGCATCCACAACTGGGAAGGGATTCCCTGCCATTCGCCTCCTGTCTTGCTACCCGGAGACAATGTCGTTCAATGTTCCGTATGTACAGGTACTCAGCTACAGCAGCTACAGCAGCTACAGCTACAGGATGCTCCTCGACTCATGAAAACGAGCATCTCATCGCAATCAAAGAACCGCCTGGCGTTTGGAGCTTGGGGGGAGCTCGGTGAATCTGTTGCAAGACAGCAGCCACTGCAAGCCAGTTTTCGCAGATCATCAGATGATGCCCTTGCTCCCAGCCCCCCATGTGCCCTTGGTTGTGTGCCTGTAGGTTCAGCTGCCGCTCGGGCGAGGAAGCCAAAAAGGGCAGAGGATGGTCCCAAGTGCCCATTGGGAAGCTTTGCAGGGCCAGCAGCTGCACCTGCGCGGCCGTCCCTTAAGAAGGTTTCACAAGGCCACAAAGAACGCGCCATACACCCCCCACCAAAACAGGCTGAAGAAACTTGTGACATCTTGTCGCTGTGGTCAGGTTGCCCTGGACAAAGGTCAATTGCAGTGTCCTGTTTAGCCTCCCGCCTGGGCACCCAAGGAGTCGTTGGATCTCTGCGAGTACCCTAGCGCCCCGAGCTCTGGGAAAGCAACGGACCTCATCCACGCAGCCGCAAGATCCAGCATTTTGTTTCTACTGCTGCATGCACAACATTCATATCATACTGCTCAACTCTTTGACACTCGGATCCCCCACAACTCATTTGGCCGATCTTCGCTCTCCTCGCCTCGTGACAAGCAGACATGGTGCAACGCTTCTTCTGAGTTCAGGCTGATACAAGGGCTATCACAGGAAGGAAGCGACAAGATCAATTTACCCAACAGAAAGGGGCGCAGGCTTTCATAGCATTGCATATGCCAAGCATTCACACTGCTGAGTACTGAACTAGATTGCCGAGTAGTGGCTCATGTTACGCCACACATACCTGGAGCCTGGAGTGTTTTGGGGTTCTGCGCATCTGTCTCCTGATTGAGAGCAGAACTGAACAGCCTAAGCCTCGCACTGGAAAGGCAGACACTTGTTTTCCGACTCTTTTAGGACGCGCCACGAACAAGAAAGCCAAACCGGCCTTGCAGGTCGGGACGAGGCAGTGAAGGACCTCCAGGATTGCATGCTACTAGCATCCTTGGCCGCTCTCTTCCGAACGATCCGCCGGAGAGAATGCCGCATTGGCCGGCTCAACTGCACCAATTCTTGCTACAGCACTGTTCACACAGTTCACGAGGGAAGAATCACCCACCAAGTCAGTGCTTCCCCTGCGGTCTGAGCTGAAGAGAAATAGCTGCACCGAGGAGCTCGTATGCGGCCGCCTCAACTCGGAGACAATCATGAGGCACTGTGTGGCTATCTTGCTCTACTGGTGGGGGTGGGCTGCAGCCTTTCCACTGTCAAGTTCTGTTGCAGCTGACTGCCTTGTCGTAGATGGCTTGATCCGCTCCCGAAGCCAACGATATCTGGAGTACCTCGACATGCAGAGCTGGTTTGCCCAAAGATGACACTATTTAAAGACTTGAGGTGGAATACTGCAGCGGCCGTGCGTCATGATGCTTCATGTGGGTGTGCTTCATGTGATGACCATGACAAGGCACTTGACCGCTGGCGGCTCCAAGGGGTCGGGCGACATAAGGGCATCGTAGCCAGCGGTTCGAGGGGACCTCATCCGGGGGCATTGTGCCACTTCATCAACACAAGCAATCGTTCTCTCGCCACCTGCAGGTTCCTTGCAGGTTCCTGGGCCCCTTGCGGAGCCAATGATCGCACGCCATCTGCACGAGCGAAATGGCGGCATGGGCCACGGGCGCGGCAGTGGATGCACCACCTTACTGCATCCGAGGCCAGGAAGCATACACACAATGCATGCATACATACATACTAGCGTAGGACTTCAGTGAGCATTCCAAGGGTCCTCCAAACGTACACCAAGAGCACTCCAAAGAGAACTCCGATAGCATCCCAAGAGCTCACCAAGAATAAGTCGACGACGGCTCTTCATTGGGAAACGAAAGAGCGACTAGGAGCCACTGGAGCTCCAGACGTCCTCCGCATTACTCTTTATATTGTGCTACGAAGGTCGACTTTCGAGCCCTTGGACTTCCGGACGTCCTCGGCGTACATGTTTGCACAACAACAGTCGACTTTCAGAGCTCCGGATCCTCGGCATACTACATTTGTACTACGACAGTCGACTTTTGAGCCAGCAGTGCTCCGGAAGTCCTCCAAAAACACCAAAAGCAGACGACAGTTTAGCATTTCGCGAACTCCGACATCCAGCAGCGACGACAGTCTCGCATTTGGCGAGCCCCGACGTCCAAAAGCGAGGACAGTTTGCGAACCCAGACATCAAAAAACGACGACAGTTACGAGTCACGGGGGTGGCGACAGCGAAGCTCGCGGCGCCTACAGTAGGCGGGAGCGCGCGAAGTCTAACGTCCCCACATGCAATGACTTCCAAAAGCGACGACAGTCCCATTTCGCCAACCCAGATGCCCAAAAGCGACGACAATGACGAGGACTGTCAGGACACTGGCACTCCTACTTCTGAGGGTGGCGTCAAAACCAACGCACCTACTTCTGAGGGCGAATCGACGTGACACAAACCCTAGCCACGTTGTTGGTGCACGTGTCGCAACACTACACGTTGGATATCGTTAGATGGAACACGACCCCCCAGTTCCGAGGATTCAATGTCGATACAGTGTCGATACGTATGGCGTCCAGGCGGGAGCGTGATTTCCAACATGGCGAGTTGCAAAATCCCCTTAGTCTGGCTGACCCATCCAAACGACCTAAAATGCAGGGCGTCTGCCACGTTTTCAGGACGCTCAGCGATGCAAGCCTCGAAAGTGCACGGAACCTATGTGGAGAGCACTATTTCCACCCGATGGGGTTTTGGTTCGACACCATCCACGAACCCAAAAAGAATGTAATTTGCGATGTTTCAGGGCTCAAGAAATCCGTGTCACCACCCGCACTGTGGAGAAAGTATGACTTTCGCATAAAGACAAGGACCGCCGCCGGCTCGAGGAATAACGCCCGCGTTTCGCTCGCGTTTCGTGCGTGCCGTGCTCTGAACGACGTTCAGTGAACAAGAAACCCTATTGTTGGCACATTGTTTGGGGGACATGATCTGTTTCATGCCTATGCATGGGTGTGGTTTCGTCCAGGTTGCGCCCGCGGCAGGCCAGTCCCCGGGCCACGTGGTGGGGGCCGCGGGCGCTTGCAGGGGAGCTCTCCCCAAACCACGCGGCTGGGAGGCACCAGCCCTGACATTTGACAACGCTCACTAAGTCTTGCACCGCGCACACTACAACATACCACAACCATCTGTGCAACCGTTGCAAAATGCAGCACGGGCTGGGCAGCTTCGTGAGAGAGAAGCGAGCCTTGGGGTCGACGCAGGATTTTCTGCTTCGTGCTAGCCGAGGAGGGGCTGTAGGGCTGATTGAAGCTACCGATGGTGGCACGGTTCATGGCGCCTTTCCTTAGCTGCTGTTCCTGTGTTAAACTGTATCGCTCATTGTATCGGAAAGGTCTGAGCTATCACGGGTCCTACTCGTACCACCTATGTGTTTTTGATTGGCTATGTGAGGCAATCTTTGGGCCGTTGACTGCAGAATTGCCACATCAGCGTCCGCTCTGTGCGAACTGGCACATGTTGCGATGGTGTTGTGGACATTGCGGACTTCTCTGGCTGAAAGTCCCAATCATCCAGGAAAGAAACCTGCGCGCCCGAAGCTATGAAGCGTGATTGTCTTCCACACCTCACTGACTCTAACAAAAGGTGGACCGATTGGACCAACATGCCCGCATATCCCAGCATGCAAGCATGTGCAAGCCTGGTCTAGCGACAGCGAGCCAGTGCCCTCAGCGTCGAGCTGCTTGAAAAGGCTAGCAGCGCCCTGGTGGAAACCTGCTTCACTTCACGAGAGGAAGGGCACCAGCGTACCGAGGATTACCGAGGCATTATTAGGGTACTCCAGCGTTTCAAGTTTCAACAGCCTCGTCTCTGAAAGCGCCCACATAACCCTGAAGTCCGAGCACTTTCGTCGCTGCTTTGCCCACAACAGTCTGAATCAAGGCCGGGGGTCCATAAATTCGACAGGCATGGCGCCATTCCTTGTCACCAGTCAACTCGGGCTGCACTGGTGTCCCAAGCTGCTCCATCACTGTTTCTTCTGTTCATGTTGTGTTCATGGTCCCTATCTGCTGGCCGGGACTCCCGGAGCGTCACGCCATTCGACCCGTCACTGTCAAAGACCATGAAGGCTGAGCGAATTCCGCCTCCAATGCACGGGCGTTGGCAACACACATCGTGGGACCGTAGAGTCCCGCGCTGCACATTCCAACCTCTGGCGCTGGGTCCCCGTGCCAAAGTTATCGTCTGCCCATTTCTTGAAAGTGGCAAGAGTCGCAGAGGAATCATAGTCAACTTCCTGTCAGCAGGCTCTCTCCCGCATGAAGCCGCGACTTATGCCTTGACACATGCGGGAAGGCAGCCAGCCCGTCAATCTTGGGCATATCGCGATCTTGAATCTTTTCCATGCCCGCAGACAGCAACTCCAAAATCACCCCCATGAACATGCGAATATGCCGCGTGCAAACTTACACACAAAGTCTCCTGAAGGGTTATGCTGCCCGAGAGGTCTGTGTCCAAAGCACGCCAGGCTCCGGCCACGTCACCTTTCGCAGCTCAACAGCTTACATGTGATTCAGGCGGCAAGTTGCGCGTCTCGGACCTGCCCTAAAGGCCCTAAAGTTGCTCAACGAGGCCAACAGCCCACATACCCGATTGCCTGTGAAGTTCACTTTCCGGCATGCGGACTGGAACTCCGGCCACGTACACCTGCAAACGCGCGGCTCGTATTGGGGCTGCACGAAAGCGTTCATGTGCGGAGGGCGCAGGTTTGCAAAAAGAGCTTCTTTCAAACCGCTGACTCCATATTGCTCACCTGTTGGAGTTGTTGTCGTCAAGGGCCAGCCGCCAGGCCTTCCTCAGGAGACCCTGAATTTACGCTGCTTCAAAGGGACTTCAAAGTCAACACCGCGCAAATTTTTCTAGGATCAGAAAGGTCAGCGAGCTGCGGGCAGCACAAAATTTGCCCCAAGGTTCAGGTAGGTCTTGTAGGTGGCGAGGAGGTCGCGCTTTACCTCCTCCTTGGCCTCTTCACTGGGACTCGCGATCAGAAACTCAGGAAGCTTCCACCTCAGCGACGACACAGCGAGCACGTGTAGATCTTCACTAGGATGGTAGGAGCCCCTGGAGCTCTTTCGAGAAGATGCTGGCTGCTACGATGAGTAACGTGAAGCCAGAGGAATCCAGGAAGCTCAGCCGGCGCCAGGTTATCTTATGTGCTTGAAACCAGCTCCAGCCCCGAACAAATTCACCATTCACTGCTTGGCCTTGCTCGCCCGACCCCGCCCCCCCCCAACGCCCCATTCATGACCGCGTTCACACGCGTGTGCGCCTGCCCGTTCTGGGCTCACGGGTACGCTCAGGGGCGCGTCTGGGACGGCACAGCATGGCACAGCTTCGTGCTCGTGTGGGCATGGGCTGGGCATGCGGGTTCGTGCGGCTCTCTGGGCATACGGTCGCTGGGCGTGGGTCTCCAGGCACGTGGCTTTCTGGAAGTGGGAGCGAATTGAAAGAGACAAAGAGAAGAGAGAGTGGCTGGGTGGGTTTCTGCTCGTGCACGGGCATCCGTGCATGCAGAAATGGAGTGCGCGTGTTGATACACCTCCATGCTGCGATGTCCCTACTAAGCAGGTCCCCCTCATCAGCAAAGTTGCTTTTCCAAAAACCTGAAGTCCTCGATTTCCAGCCGCCCATTTGCGTCCGTATCCAGGCCATCGAAGAGCTGCTTTGCCTGGTGTGACGAGCGGTCGGCTGCCCTCCCCTGCGCATCTCGTACGTGCCACATGCATGTGCCATACCCACAGCTACACAGAGCAATGCCAATCATCGCTTCATCGCTCGGCAAACCATTTGATTTGGTTGAGCGGGTGCATATTTGCAGCGCCGTCTTTAGCCAAGCGGCGGGCAAGGATGCGTCCTCAGACAAGGAGTGTGCCACGCATGCTCAACCGACTGTCATGCGACAAGGCACGCCATAATTGTCAGCCATCTTGGTGGTATGCAGAGTAATGGTTGGCACGCTGGTGACCCTAGGTGGTCTCGGTCAACTAGCCATCTTGCTGACAAGCATCCAGCGAATTCAAGGTGGAAACGAACTCTGGCATCTTGACTCGCTTCACCTTCATTCCAGACTCACCCAGGAACGTGCAAAACGTTGAATTTTTACCATATCTCACTCCAAGCATGAAAGTCTGGGATGCACTCGTGGGGCATCCAAGCAAGAAACGTGCAGGAAAGATTTGATGTGCATGGTCATGATAGCAAGGTGCAAAAAATCCGAGGGGCATCCTTTTTGTCGAAGACGCGAAAGGCCGAATTCACGCCACCCAGTTGCTGCACCAGCTGCCTTGACTCGACAGGACAACAAGACAGCTACTCCAGGAGAAGCTTTCATCTCGCAACACACAGAGAATCTGCAGTAGGATGTAGTAGGCAAGCCCCGGCCGATCTGCACACGAGCTGCTGGAACCTTGCAAGGTTTTCCTCAGCTGACATCAACCGACATGTTTTCCGATCCAGGGCAATTGTCAAACTGTCCGGCCCAGGTGCCCACTTCGAGCTGTCCACCCCCTGCCCTCCCCTCCAACCCCCCGCCCCCCCTACGCCCCCTGCCACCCCCGTAAGATGGACACTTAGAGCCGATGCTGCACGTGCGTGCCTTGTAAACATATCGTTTACGAAAGAACCACCCGCAGAATAGACGCAACGTGTAATAATATCGTTTACAAGGGGACCACCCGCAGCATAGACGCAACGTGCCCGCAGCGTCAGCGTGATGCATCCTGGGCGAGAGGGTGCAGAGTGGAGGGTGCGGAGCGCGCGGGCTGCGCGGAGTGCGCGGAAGGCGCTCAGAGCCATCAACCGGCTATCATGCTCCTGCCCTTGCACCCCCTTCAACCACATACATGGCGCTCTGAACCATTCCATGCGTGCCCACTCCACTGCCCGTCAACCGAATCCCCTCCTCGTCCTCGCCCCCCGTCCGTCAACCACACATCGCGCTTCCCCCATGCATGGTCCACGCCTGCCCACGCCCCTCTCCCAGCAAAATGTTCCGACCCCCCCTCCGTTGACTGTGTCGTCTCCGTGGCCTCCCGTCAAAATTCATTCCGTCCGACCCTCCTCCGTTGACTGTCTCCTCTTAGCTTCGTGGCCTCGACAGGGCGACTTCCGCGTTGAAGCGCTAAACGAGAAGAACCCAACCCCAGAGAGGTTTTCGGGAAGTATCCAAGAAAGCAACAAGCACGCGCAGAACGGACGTTAAGCGTCCAAGGCTCCCCCCACCCCCCCCCAACCCCCCCACCCCCCACCTCCAGGCCTATCATATCTGCATGCTTAGACTTAGACAACTGCTATCAAACTTAATTGGCTCCGAAGTGTCTGCAACGTCTCAACCCCAATAACTTCCGAAGGGCACAACTTGCAGTCAAAAATCAAGTACCAATGCAGCTCTATCCGCCGACCCCAGCAGCAGCGGGGCGGCGTCAGTGAAGACCCATTTTTGTCCGCTCTAGGGGCTTTAGTGCATGGCCCCTTCCCTTCCCCCCCTCCACCCCCACACACACCCTGCCCATCCCATGCTACGCTCTTCGCGCCCGCTCCGCCCACCTCGCCTATGGCCCGCACTGCCCTTGCTGCCCGCCCACCCCGCTCATGGCTCCTCCGCTTGCTCCGCTCTTCCCGTCCGTACTGCCCTTCTCATGGCCGCATGGTCCCCAAGGGCGTACCCTCCTCACCCCCACCCCGACTCCCACCCCCACATACACCCTGCCTATGGGTCCCTTCCTATGGCCCCATGGGCTGCCGCCCCCTCCGCTTGCTCCGCTTGCTCCGCTTGCTCCGCTCTTCCCGCCCGTACGGCTCTTCTCATGGCCCCATGGTCCTGAAGGGCGTACGGCTCCATGGCTCCGCCCTTCCCGCCCGCACTGCTTCTCATGGCCTCAAGGGCTCATGGCCCCATGGCTGCATGGTCCCATGGCCCCAGGCCCTTGGACCCTACCAGCTGCATTTAAAGGGCCCGAGTGCATGCCCGCCCCCTCCGCTTGCTCCGCCCTTCCCGCCCGCACTGCCCTTCTCATGGCCCCGTGGTCTCCAAGGGCTCGTGGCTCCATGGCTCCATGGTCCCATGGCCCCACCCTATCAGCTGAATTTAAAGCGCCCCAGTGCATGCCCCCTTCCCGCCCTTCCCGCCCGCACTGCTTCTCATGGCATGAAGGGCTCATGGCCCCATGGCTGCATGGTCTGCCCTTGCTGCCCGCCCACCCCGTCCATGGCTCCATCCGCTCGAACCCCTCCCCACCCCCACCCCGACTCCCACCCGCTCCCTTCCTATAGGGCACCATGGCCGCGCTCTTCCCGCCCGCTCCGCCCACCCCGCCCATGGCCTGCACTGCCCTTGCTGCCCGCCCACCCCACCCACCCAGCCCGACTCCCACCCCCACATACACCCGTCTCTTCCTATGGCACTGCTTGGCTCTTGCCCTTCTCATGGCCCCATGGTCCCCAAGGCCGTACTCCCTCACCCCCACCCCGACTCCCACCCCCACATACACCCTGCCCATGGGTCCCTTCCTACGGCTCCATGGGCTGCTGCCCCCTCCGCTTGCTCCGCTTGCTCCGCTTGCTCCGCTCTTCCTGCCCGTACGGCTCTCCTCATGGCTACGGGCGGGAAGAGCGGAGCAAGCGGAGCAATATGTGGGGGTGGGAGTCGGGGTGGGGGTGAGGAGGGTACGCGATTGGGGCATGCACTGGGACCCTTTAAAGTCAGCTGATATGAAGCCATGGAGCGCCATGGGGCGGGAAGGGCGGAGGGGGCGGGAACCATATGGAGCGCCATGGAGCGGGAAGGGCGGAGGGGGCGGAGCGGGAAGGGCGGAGGGGGCGGAAAGGGCGGAAAGGGCGGAGGGGGGAGGGCGGAGAGGGTGGGTATGCACTGGGACTTTTGAAAGTTAGGTGATAGGGTGGGAGCCATGGGGCGGGATGGGACCATGGAGCCATGGGGCCATGAGAAGGGCAGTGCGGGCGGGAAGGGCGGAGGGGGCGGGCATGCACTGGGGCCTTTAAATTCAGCTGCTAGGGTCCAGCAGTCTGGGGCCATGGGACCATGCAGCCATGGGGCCATGAGCCCTTGAGGCCATGAGAAGCAGTGCGGGTGGGAAGGGCGGAGTCATGGAGCCAACGGCTCTTCTCATGGCCCCATGGTCCTGAAGGGCGTACGGCTCCATGGCTCCATGGCTCCGCTTCCCGCCCGCACTGCTTCTCATGGCCTCAAGGGCTCATGGCCCCATGACTGGATGGTCCCATGGCCCCAGGCCCTTGGACCCTATCAGCTGAATTTAAAGGGCCTGAGTGCATGCCCGCCCCCTCCGCTTGCTCCGCCCTTCCCGCCCGCACTGCCCTTCTCATGGCCCCGTGGTCTCCAAGGGCTCGTGGCTCCATGGCTCCATGGTCCCATGGCCCCACCCTATCAGCTGAATTTAAAGGGCCCCAGTGCATGCCCCCCCTCCGCTGGCTCTGCCCTTCCCGCCCTTCCCGCCCGCACTGCTTCTCATGGCCTCAAGGGCTCATGGCCCCATGGCTGCATGGTCTGCCCTTGCTGCCCGCCCACCCCGTCCATGGCTCCATCCGCTCGAACCCCTCCCCACCCCCAGGTTGCGCGTTGGATGTGCCTTGGCTCAAGCTAAGGGTGGCTGGCTGACTGAACGAGGAACCCATTGTGTAGAGGGTTGTAACGCTCCTGACTGGTTTTTTCTCGCCTTTCTGCTTCTTCTCTCCTGTGTGCTGTGCTTTTTGTTTGGTCCTCCCCTTCCTGGAGTCCCTCCCTAGTTTTTGTAAGGGCTTTCCAGGGATCTTGGTGTCTGGAGGTTGCCTCGTGGTTCTCCGCTGCCTGTGGGGTAGTCACAAGAGTTTGGCCTGCCATGTTCGGTGAGTGATGCCATGGAGTCGTATGCCTGTCAACCGTACGCGATCCGGGTTGGAGCGCAAGTGCTCCAAGTCCACGTTGCCAGGAGAGGGCAACTCACTGCACTTGCCACTTTAGGGACCAGTGATATCGCAATGACCAGGCAGATGCAAGCCGGCGTCATCCTGCCTCACGAACTCGATGTTGCCGGTTGGTGCCGATACTTTCCACCGGAAATACAACCTTTGTTGTGTCTGGACCATTCTGCCTTTTTGAGAAACAGCAACGCCGTCTGCTTCGCCCGGCAACCCACGGTTCGCTGTTTTCTCCTGCATGCATGGAGGCCAGGCATCGGCATCATGCCGCATAGCAGTGCCCTCATGGGGCGAGCGGTGTCCACGCACAGTGCTTTGCCTGGTGACGCGATAGACCTTCCCCCTTGGGCGAGTGTTGTCACCGAACAAGGAGCGGGTAGGGAGACAGCCCTGTCTCCCGGGCCCTGGCAAACTCCATCACCTAATCCACCTAGGGTCTGCTGGCCGGATAATAGTCCTCGCCCTCCCATACCGCCGATTCCTCCACGTGTTGGCGAATACCCAGTGGGTGAGGTCAGTAGGATCGAGCCGCGAATTCCACATGGGAGGCCACCCCCATGGCCTCATGGCCCCATGCCTCTCACCCTCAATGGCTCATGGCCCCATGGCTCCATGGTCCCATCCCGCCCCATGGCTCCCATGGCTTCACGGCTTTGGACCCTATCAGCTGACAAAGGGTCCCAGTGCATGCCCGCCCTCTCCGCTCTCCCCGCCCCTCCGCCCTTTCCGCCCTTTCCGCCCTTCCCGCTCCGCCCCCTCCGCCCTTCCCGCTCCATGGCGCTCCTTCTGGTTCCCGCTTCATTGCTCCCATGCCCCATGTCTCACGGTCTTGCGTCCCTGGACCTTATCATCCGTGCATGCCCGCCCTCTCCGCCCTCTCCGCCCCCTCCGCCCCCTCCGCCCTTCCCGCTCCATGGCGCTCCATGACTCCATGGTCCCACGGCCTCACGCCCGTGGACCTTGTCACTCTTCCTTCCAGGGCTCCATGGCATGGCCCATGGGCTCATGGCCCCATGCCTCTGGCCCGGAATGGTTCGTGCATGGTCCCATTCCGCCCCGCCCTGGACCCTATCAGTGCACGCCCGCCCGTTTGCTCTACCCCTACCACCCACACACCTGGCCCCCCGCCCATGCCGCTCATGGACCGATCCCTACCACCGACTCGCCCCATCCAAAGCGCCCCCCATCTTGGTGCTGGTCCATCCCCCCTGCCGTAGCCTCTGGCGCCTGGCCCCATGGCTCCATGCATGGTCCCATCCCGCCCAAGGCTCCCATGGCTTCACGGCTTTGGACCCTGTCAGCTGACTTTAAAGGGCCCCAGTGCATGCCCTGTCCGCTCTCTGCACCCTTCCGCC